ATTACGGGGTTAAGTGTGCCCTCTTGAAGATACCAATTTTATTTTTTCTTTCCTTGTTTTCCATCTCTTATTTTATACATGCTCTAAATATGGATGTAATACTCTCCTGGAAAGTTATTAAACATTTGACTCTAAGTCTGCTTCTGGCCTCTTCCTCCTTTGAGGGATCCTTTAACTTGCCCATGTTAGTGCTTCAGAAAGTGCTGAAGAATTGCTTTAGGAACCCAGATGTTAGAATTTGCCTCTGAATTTGACTTTGATTGGCGGCCTCGCTGTTTAAGGGATAGCACAGATGTGAACAACAGTAATCTGGAGAGAGGAAAAATAGTAAGGTTTCCATAGAGGAGACAGGATCTGTCTCCAATCCATGAGGTTTGTGGTACTCTACCTATGACAAAAACTCATGCTGTTTGCTTTTAGTACATGGAAATGGGTTTTTCATTCCCTTCTTACTTGAAGCCGTTTTCCAGCAGTGACAAATTGGTCTTACCTGCCTGTTAGGGCATGGCTCTGTTTGCTAAACAACTCGGTCCAGCTCTCAACCAAGCCTTAAGCAGCTACTTATAGCAAGAGGCACACAATAGCCTTCCAGCTGCCAAATTGTCCCTTTCCCCAGGGATCAAAGGGGAGGTTTAGCAAAGCAGCATAACAGGAGTGGAAGTCTTTTCCTGTGCTGAAGCTGCCCTTCCCTGCCTTAGACCAATCTGCCTTTGTTGTGGAAAGGCTTGCAAAGGGGAGGCCACGAACCTCCAACAGTGACAGAGTCTGGGAGTAACTGATGCCTTTCCTCCCCCTGCAGCTACTCTGGTGGGATGGTACCTAAGGCAGGTACTGATCCTTCCCTGGTGTCGGGCTGTGCAGTGAATTGGGAAGACTACACTTTCATTATTGTCCCATAGAACAAAGCTGGTCTCTCCCAGGAGGAGGAGAGCCTGTTGGGGGACATATGCCCCAGATTCTGAGTTTAATCCTGACCACTGACTCTCCACCTGGTCTAAAGGTTTGGCATGTCTGTGTACCCTCATGGTCAGCAGCTCCTCTGTATGAACCACACTACCTCTAGACAGCTCTCAGAACACCTATAATGCAGCTCCCTTATTTGCACCTTTAAATGGGCTTTGAACTGGAGCTGCTGACCCCATGCTGCCATGTGGTGCTGGAGTGCACTTGCAGAAGGCTTTCTGGAGAAGACTTTTCCAATTTTTATAGCAGCCGAATAGCTTGGTAGCTCTAAGGAGCCAAGCCAAGGAAGCCCACATGGGAAGGCACCATCCATCTCATTTTGACATCTACCAAGGCTTGGCTGGACTTGAGATTTGTTAAGTGGAATTGCACTGTATCGTGTGCCAAGGATCAGCCTTAATGAAGTCCATGGTGAAGCTTTCCTGCCATGTTTGCAAAGCGTGCCAGGGCTGGGGGAGCTGCTGAGGGGATCCATTGGACCCCGGCAGGGTAAAGTGTGCATCCTTTCCCACAAGCCCTTGCTCATGAGTATGTGTTTTTGGCAGTTGTTGGTGGCCAAGCACTCACCAGGAGCTGCTGCTGCCTTTCCCTGCCATTCTGGGGCCCATGCTGGAGTTGTTCCTTGCCCTCCAGGAGTCGGATTTGCTCTGAGTGAGTGACGTTAACGTGTTAAGGGGCTGGGCTCCCCAGGGCCCTGAGCAGGCTGCCTCTGTGAAGAGATTAGATGGGCCTTGCTGCCAATTCCTGCCCGACCTCTAGGAGCTGTGCCAGTGGATTTGTTGAAATAAACTCTCAGCCGCAAACCCTTATATCTGTGTGGACCCTCTGTGTATTTTTTAATATGAAACAAAATACTGAATGTTCCTGTTTACATGCTGCACAAAGTGGAGCATCATCAGATACTGGCTCTTTCCTTTAGGGCCAGATGGTGGGGAATTTATGCGGTGTTCTTCAAAAATCTTCCTTTTCTAATCCCCCTCTCCCATCAAAACTTTAACCATTTCACTGAAGGTGAGGGAAGTTTGGATGCTTTCCCTGGGGGAGAGGAAGATGCTGCTGGTGCATAGGCCAAAATGTCACAGGCGTCCTGTCAACAGTCGTTTCCTAGAGTAAATGTGCACCAGCAAAACTCCTGTGATGAAGCGCCCGGCTTCTTATTGCTTTAGTTATGGCTCTCGACCCAGCGGGGATACAATGTCCTCCTACATGAAAAGAGCAGAGGGAGGCAGGAAGGACGTGGGTGCAGAGATGGGAATCTGCCCCGAGGACAGCTACTGCCTGTGTGCTTCCAGGGCAGCCCCAGCTTGGTGTGAGGGGTAAGCAGAGGGGGAGTCCTGGTTCAGTGTAGGTGGCCTGCAGAGAAAAGGTCTTAAATACTCCTTGTTCACCTTTCTGTGGGTGGCCTGCTCCTTTCTTCCTGCTTAAGTCCTTATCGCAGTTCACATCTAGTGGGAGAGAAAGGAATCTTTCTTCGCGGGGAGCCTTGGATTCAACCTGGGGTGGAGCGGGGCCCGCCCAAAGAGTTTTCCTTGCCTCTGCCAGCTTTTCACCTTCCCCTTCCAGTGGCTGGGGCAAGATCCTGCACTTGGGCGCTTTGATCGGGACCTAAGTGGTGGGAGCCTGCTTTCAATATCAAAGGCAAAGCTTCCCTTTGAAATCTTGGATGCTGAAGGACAGAGAGTGCATGGGCTGCAGCACCTCGGAGCAAGGGACAGGAGAGCAACCCTCCCCAGGCTGGGTCAGGGAGCAGACACGCTCGGACCGAGCTGGAGCAGCTGGCAGTCACCGCGTGGTGCAAGCCAAGGCTGGGACATCCCTTGGCTCCAGTGGCTCTGCCTGGGCAGGTGGCAGCAGCTGGCAGGGGAAGCAGATGGCAGGGTTTTCCTGGAAAGCTTTCTGTCCGTGTGCTCTGCTGGCTGCTGGGGCAGAAGCAGTTTGGGTAAGACTGGCCCAGCAGAGTGGCAGGACACTGGTGCAGGCTTCTGTCCTGGCCTGTGGCCTTCCTCTTACTCTTTGTCTTTTTCCTATTAAGTGGATCCTGACACAAAGCACAGAGCTCTGATCATGGAGGTGATATGCAGGAATCAAAAAACATCTGTGCCAAACTCTGCTCCTTGCCCTCTCTGCCTCCCGTTCTGCATCTCCCTGGATGTCTTGGGCCAAATGTTGTCATCTTTGTAGATGGATTACACCTCCAGGGCGATGCTAATCCTCTGCAGCTGCTGTCTAGCGTAGGGCAGGCGGTGCTGGAGCTGAGGGAAATATTTATTTTGAGTTTTGCCATTGGCCACTGCCCAGGAAATATGAGTGACCGTACTGGGGACTTTGACCACTTCTGCACGCAGGGAGAGTTGATCTTCCTGACCCGCTGGTGCGTGCGGGAGGGGTGAGAGGTTCCCCCGGCAGGCTGCAAAATGGGACCACCCAAGCAAGGATGAGGGAGTGGCTGTGTGCCCTAAGAGCTGCCCTGGGATGTGATGGGGAAAGCCTCAGAGCTGCTAGAGGTGAGAAGATGATGAATGCTAAGTTGTGCTGAAGCAGACCTGCAGACCGTCTGCTCCATTGTCACCTCGTGTGTTGCCCCTGCAGCCCCAGAAATTACTTTCCTCCTCATGAGATGGAGGGTTGAGCACCACAGGGAGTGAAGCTGGTGGCTGCGGGGTCGGGGTGGGGGGAGGTGACAGGCATAGGCAGCGCACATGTGTGCCAAGCTCAATGCAGCTGGCAGGTGCATCCCACCCACAGCAGGGCTGTGCTGGCACTGACCCCCACCCAGGCAGCACCCGAAGCCTCAGTCCTGTTTGCAGCGTGCACAGGCAGCAGGTTCATCCCCTCCCAGGGCCCCGCGGCTCTTCCCTCTTTCCCCAGTGTTGTTTCCTCTGGCCTTGAGGCTGGCTGGTTGCTGCTCAGTGTATCCCGGCCCCCGTTCTTCCTCTGCACGGAGCCTGGCTTCCTCTCTGCTTTCCAGGTCCTCTCTTCAGTGGCGCACAGGGGATCATACCCTGGCTTGCAGAGGAAGAGGAGGAGGCAGGACAAAGCACGGTTTCTCCTGTGATGGTGCCAAGTAGGCAGGGAAAGCCCGTGACAGCCCTTGTCACCCACATTCCAGCAGCATGTGGAGCCCCATCCCACAGTGGCCAGCACTGCCCTGGCACAGCAGGGCCTGGAGGACACTGAGCTCCCAGGGTCTTTTGCCAGGTCAGGCTTCTCCAGCCTATTTTTGGGAAGCTGGGCGCTGCCTGGTGGGGGGTGGATCCTGGCAGGGCTGCCTGGTGCCTGGCAGGGCCAGGGTGAGTGGGACTTGTGCTGCCCCGAGCTACTGAAAGCCCTGTCCCTTGCAGGAGGTGCATCCCTGCCCTCCCCAGGATCTTGCGTCTGTGGGTGGCCAGGGGTGAGCCAACCCCACTGTGGGCATGCAGGGCAGAGTGGGAGCCTCTGGCAAAGAGCCCAGGCCCTGCTGAAATGCTGGGCTATGTCTCTGGCAGGGTCCCTCGCTGCTGTCCATGAGCGTTTCCAGATGGCCCTGGGCTCCTGGCACTGGTTCTGCTGCAGCATCCGGGGAAAAGTGGGAGGGGGTGGGAAGTGATGTCCCAGCTCACCAAACCCGAGCAGCCTGGGACTCTGCTCCCAGCGCCACTAATTCCCCCTGGGGAATTGTCCCATCCTGAATCAGCAAGGAGTCCCCTCCCCTGCCATGACAGGGCTGCCCAGGCAATGGGATGCCGCAAGCGCCTGGCCCTGGGCATTCTTGGCTGGCTCAGCTGGCTTTCCCTGTGAGCCAGGTGTCTCTCCAGGTACCAGGCTTCGGGGTCCCCACCCCTGCATCCTGCCGAGCCCTCAGCACCCCTGGGAGAGAGGGGAAACACAGCTGCCGTGGGAAATAAATCTGTTGTCGGAAATGCATCTACCATGGGAAGTGCATCTAGTGTGGGAAATGCATCTACCGTGGGAAATGCATCTGCGCCTGCTTCTGGAGCCGCCTTTGCGGGGGTGGAGAGCAGCAAATCCCAGCCATGCTTTCCTCCTGCCTTGCCTTTTGGCAAGGTTTGTGCCTTTTGGTAGCTCCCGGTGCTGGTTTGGCCCCAGTTCAGGGCAGGCTGGGGTGCTGGGCTGCCCTGCAGCAGGGCTCCTGGTTCCGCAGAGCCGTGCAAGCACAAATCTGGGTGAAATGGTCAAAACCGAATTGAAAGGAGTTAAAAGACAAGGAATGTGACCCAGCACGGCCTGGCCAATGAAATACAACAGCCTGGAGCCACTTGGAGAGGTGGTTGTTGTTTTTCTCCCCCCCCCCCCCGGCATGGCTGGGAATGGCTGCCCAATGTGGGCAGGGATGGAGGCCAGGGCAGGGGATGGGTGGCCCAGGCCATGGGGTCCCCCCTGCCCCCAGCACTGGCAGTCCGGGGAAAGCGGGGTGAGAGCCAGCATGGGTCCTCCCCTTTTAAAGTAATTAGTGGCAGGCAGATGGTGGGGCAGCTCAGGGTAATTTAGTGCCAGGAAGTGGCTACAGCCAAGTCTTGGGCGCTGAGCCAGCAGCTCTGGATCCTGGGGAGAGGGAAGGATGGGGGCAGGGCACAAAGGCTTCATCCCCACATGTAAAGGGGGGATCCCCTCCCGCCAGGGCTGGCAGGGTGAGGATGGGGGCAGGGGGCAGCTGGAGCCCCAGGGAGTGGGAAGCAGGTCAGGGGGGGGCTCATGCTCCCCACACCAAGCCGTGTGTCAGAGCCACCAGCCCTGTGGGGAAACAGGGAAGGCACAGGTGCTGTCCAGGTGCTGGTCCCATGAGTCCAGTCCCATAGAGAGAGCCCCTACCCCCCAACTCCATAGGGTCAGTCCCACAGGGATGGGTCAGACCCATACAATCCCCCACCCAGCATGGCCTGCCTCCCCACCAGTGTATGAATTGTGCCAGGCCTCTGCCACCCGCCCCGAGGCTGCCCAGGCTGCACCTGCGGCTCCAGAGCAAATCCGACACCGGCTCACCACCCTGGTGAGCATTACCAGTAAAGGCAAAAAAGCCACTATTACCACCACCGCTGCATGCTGCCTGCTGTGGTTTGATTTTCCTTCCCATTAAAGGCTGAGCAACATTTTTCCCTGGATAAAGCCAATTTTCTACACACACATCCACCCCCCCACCCCCCCCGGTCTAATCTTTCCCACTCCCACAAATATTTCCCCGATCTCTGCACTGGTCACGACTCCTCCTGCTTTCCTCTGCCAAGACAGCAGCAGCGAGACAGGATACGGCCGCCTCCTTCCCCCAAGGAAACACATCAGGGCCACATGGGGACAGGGAGCCAAAGCACCTGGTAAACCAGCTCCAGGAGGGACCATGTACCGTCCCCTGGCTGCTGCAGCCACTGGCCCCTGCCCAGGGAATGGAGGTGGCCGCCCCAGGGCTGGAGCATGGTGCTGGCCAGGGAAGAACAAGGCCCGCTGTGTTCCTGGCAAGGCCATTGCCACTGCTGTGGGAGCTGGTGAAAGGCAGCTCTGTCCACTGCCAGGGTAGGGGGGCTGCTTTTGCTGACACCCCCGCCCAAACTGGTAGCCCCCAGGCAAGTCCCTGCTACCATAAAATCTGCCAAACCTCGCACAGGGCAGCCCACGTGGCTCCTGCCCCCATCCCGCAGCAGAAAGGACGGCACCACAGCTCTCCATGCACCGGACCCTTTTAATACACATACAGGATGGCTGTGCCCGCTGCCCTGCCCACGGGACTGCATGACCCCAGGGCTGCACCCCATGGCAGCGGCAGGGTCCGGGCTAAGCTGAGCCCACAGGGGGTTGCAAAGGTGGCGTCTCCCCCTTCACACTATCTTTAGGCACCACATCCCTGTATCCCCGTGGTTCAACAGGAAACCTGGCTACGAGATCGGCCCTCCCTTCTCCTTGCACCTCCCTGCCATTGCAGGTGCTGGCAGCTGAGACCTGCCAGCTCATAGCACTTGTGAGCAGCCCCCAACCTGCTCACCACCCCATGCAGCACAGGTACAGCTCAGCAGGTTCAGGCAGAAGAGACTCTGCTGGGCCCCCTTGGCAGAGGTGGGTGCAACATGATGGGTGGCAACCTGATGGTCACAGCGGGGGTTGGGGCAGGCGCCAGGGAGCAGGCAGGACCTGGATGCCCTCCAGCCCGCTGTGACCCAGCCCAGCTGTTCTGGAGGGGCTGGGAGAGATGGGCATCCCCCCTTTTTTGAGGCTGGAGCCATCAAGCAATAATGGGGCAAGAGGGGCCAAGGTCATGGGGAGGGGCAAGGGGAGGGGGAGGTCAGGTCCATTGTTAGCACCATGGTGGTAGGGGCAGTCTGGGCAGGGAGCCAGGGTCAGACCCACTCCTGCAAGGAGCGCTTGCAGTACAAGAGCATTCGGGGCGCACCCTTCCTCTGCATCTGGACGATGACGTAGATGAGGCCGAGGATGCAGAGCAGCAGCACCAGCAGCACCAGCACCATGACAACGCTCATGGTGCGCGTGTACTCATCAATCTGCACCACCACATCCACGTCCCCGCCTGGCTGGCGGCCACCCTTGCCATAATCATCCTCGTCTTCCTCCTCCTCCTCCTCTTCCTCCTCCTCGCCTTCAGCTCGCCCATCCCCCTCGGGGTTGAAGGGGGGTCGGTCCCCATCAGGCCAACGGGGATGGGGGTCTGGGACCAGCTCTGTGTGACAGCCCATGAAGTCCCGTAGGATGGATTTGGGATAACCCGGCTCTGTCTTGAGCCGCTCGTTGTCAAATTTCCAGTACTTTGTGCCTCTGTAGAAGTAGGTGGAAGCTGCAGGAGTGAAGATGGAGGCAAGGGGTAAGTAGGCAGGCACAGGGCACCCCACAACCTGGGCACCCCTGCAGATACCCAGGACAGCAGGTTTTGCTCTGGGACTGGTGAAACCCTTCAGAAAAGGCTTCACTGCTAACTCCTGGGCACCCTCCTGGCCTCCATCCCACATGGCCAGGCAACCAGAGGGGTGACCCCATCCCCTCTGGTCTCCCCCCACCGCCCAGCCCTGTTCTCCTCCTCTACTTACAGGCATCTGGGCTGAGGAAGGCACCCTTTGGTGAGGGAGGGATGCCCACCCAGACGGAGATGGGCTTTGGGTACCCGGGGTCCACTGAGCGGCTGTCTTCATTAAAGCGCCAGTATCTGGGGGAAAGAGGTGGTGAGCAGGTGAGGAGCACGGCGGTCTCCGCCACCCACCATGCCCACTCCTGCCAGGGGCCAGGAGGCAGCAGAGCAGGGAGGAGGACCCCAGAGCTACTCACCTGTCCCCACGGAAGAAGAAGGTGTGCCCTGTGGGTTCCCACCAGACAGCTGTGTCGATGCTGTCATAGGGGATGCCCTGCCCGTAGGTGACCAGGGGCTGCGGGTACCCGGGCTCCAGGTTGGCTTCTCGGAAGAGCCTGGAGGGGGGGAGGAGACCGAAGGGGGGTGAGGCGGCAATGCCCAGCTGCTGCAGCAGGTGCATATGTGGATAGGGATGCGGGTACGATGCCTGCGGCCACCCCATCCCTTTGGGATCAGGCAGCGGCTCCAGCTGGGGAGGTGGATCAGGATGGGATGAAGCCAACCAGCTCTCAGCAGCTTGGAGGGGCACTGGGGTCCCCCCTGCACCTTGGCCCTCCCACCCAGCTTCCCTGCTCACCTTTAAAGAAGACGAACCTCCCATCATGCCTCTCGTAGGCAGCATCGATGTCCCCAGGGAGGCCCCGCCAAAAGTGCCCAATGGGCATGGGGTAGTTGTCCAGCACCCGGTTGTGCCGGACCCTCCAGAACCACCGGCCCTGGTGGGAAATAGGGTGTTGGAAGAGGACGGGGAGACACAGTCCCAGTGCCAGGCATCTTGCTGGGGGATCCTCCCACCTAGGGACCCACCACATCCCCAGGGAAGGGGCAGGAGGACATCCCGGCAGGTACCTTGAACACAAACATCTCCCCACGCAGCACCGCCACCGTGTCAAAGTTCCCATCGCAGATGTCGGGGCCGTACTGGTCAGGTCGGTCTGGGCTGCCAGGTTTGGGGGGTCGCTCGGGTTTCCCCGGGGGAGGCAGTTTAGGGGGTCTCTGGTCTGGCTTGCCAGGTCTCCGGGGTGTCACGGTGGGCAAAGGCTTGGTGGGCTGAGGGTGCCCATCTGCGGTACCTGGATTGGGTGGGTGAGAGAAGGGATGGGGTGATGCAGACCAGCATCACCCGTGCCTCGGCTTCCCCATGCACATGCCCAGCATCCCACCTCTGGGCTGATCCTCCACCCATCTCCTCACCGTACAGCTGCTGGATGCCCTTGAGGTCATCCTCAGGCAGCTGGAAGTTCTCCGTGTCCATCCACTGGTAGAAGGGGGCCATGATAGCACTGGGGTTGCTGGAGTGCTCCAAGCCCAGTGAGTGCCCCAGCTCGTGCACAGCCACTAGGAAAAGGTTGTTCCCTGAAGGGAAAGGCACCATCAGCAAGACGGGGTGGAGAACATGATGCATGGGGTGGGTCCTTGGCCCCAACACCCTGCAATGAGGGTGCTACGGTGGGAGCTGCCTGCGTCACCCACGGTGGAGCCACTCTCCCTGCCACTCCTGCCCACACCAGCACATCCCCCTGCCCTCAAACCCAGGGGCCTACCAGGCTCCTCTGGTTGCCTTCACCACCTCCTTGGCCCTCAACTCACCAGACACATCCGTGTTCTCCAGCGTCCAGGGCTCATCCGAGTCAAAATGCGTGTCCCCCCCCATGCCAGGACCAGGAAAATAGGCATGAGCCAAAAAGCCCCCAACACCGTCAAAGGGGGAGCTGTCTCCATGGAAGCCAGAGGCGAAGAGCACCATGATGTCAGCCTCCTTCTTTCGCTTCTGCCGGATGTCCTCGTAGGGTACCTCCCGGAAAACCAGTGGTGTGGCTTGCTCCCACACCCGGAAAGCTCGACGGACAGCCTCGTACGAGTGGTACCGACCCAGCTTCTCCGTGTAGTTTTGGATGCTGGGGGTACAGAGCTCACTGGGGATGGCCCGGGACAGCACTCGCTCCCCGAGGGCACCCATGGCTCTCCATGGGCTGGAGGGTGGAAAGCCCCAGAGATGTTGGGTACCTGAAGGTGAGGTGGCTCTGGCTCCAGCGCCGCCCTGTCAGCGCGTACCGCTTCCGCCGCATGTTCGACTTCGTCCGCACCCCAAACTGGTCTGGGACTCCACAGCGGGGACGTTTCATCCACCTGCCAGGAGGGCATCGAGCCAGGGCTCAGCCCACCACGGCCAAGGTCCCTGAGGGGTTACAGCAGCCGTGGACAGCGAGGGAGGTGTCCTGGCTGCAGGGGTACAGCCCCCAAAAGGGGAGATGCAGCTCCCATGGGAGACAGCACCCACATTTCCAGGTGCAGGCAGAGCTCCGGGGCTGGCAGGCAAAGCCAAAGAGCCAGGGAGTGGAGCTGCCTTCTGCTACAGCAAGAGGACATGGAGAAACTCACGCCTTGGTCTCCTCATCCAGGACGCCGGTGACAGTGATGCCGTAAAACTTCTGCATCTCGGCGAGGGCCGAGGAGAAGGTCTGAGCTGAGCGCATGGTGGACATCTGCCGGCTGGGGGGGGGGGGGGGGGGGGGGCGGCGGGGTGGTTAAGCCAGGGACCCCCAGCCATGCCTGCGCCGGGGAGAGCCGAGCGTGAGGCTGTGGGAGGGGAACAGCCCGACAGGGGGACCTGGAGCTCCTTGAGACCCCAGCGAGGCAGGATCCGGCCCACCACCCACTGCCACCCCAGCCCTATCCCCCCTCATGGGGTGTCTGTGCCAGCTGCCAGGGGCAAATGCCGCACCTGGGCAGGCAGGGCAGGCAAGCTGGAGCACGCAAGCAGCATTTGGGAGGCAGGGAACAGAGCCCCAGCCCTGCCCCACCAAGTGTGTGTGTGGGGTTCCTCCAATCCCAGGGGGCTGTCGGCCACCCTGATCCCAGGGAGAAGGCAGCAGGCAGGGGGCCAGCCTGCCCGCGGGCCGCCTATCTCCCCACTGTCCCCCGGGAGCTGCAGATGGACACGGGGCCAGCCGCCTGCCCCTCCCGGCCTTCCCCCACAAATTGGCTTTTGCCCACAT